CATTCCTTGGACATAAGCAGCTGCAGCAGCTACTCTTTTTTGCCGTCATTTTTGTCAGTATGCCCCTCACACGGCTTTTGCCAATTCCATCTTTACAAGTATACACCTTATGGACAGAAATGACAGTGATCAGCTGTGCACCTCTACTTTTACTCAATGCCATCGCTCTGTCCCCTTTAACCCCATTCTCCCTTCTCTTTGCCCGAGAGCCACGATCAGACTTTGTTCTCAGTACATTTTTTTTGTCTTTTAATATAAGACAGGCTCTAAACTATTGGTGCTTCTGTGATTAAATTAGTTCACTCAGCACAGTGTCTTCAAGCTCTATCCATGTTGTAGCATGTGCCCACACTTCGCCTCTCCTCCTGGCTGAGAAGCATCCCATGGTATGGATGGGCCACTTTTGGTGGATCCGTTCGTCTGCTAATGGGCACCTAGGTTGTGTTCACCTGTGGGCCACTGTGAACAGCGCTGCTGTAAATAGGAGCACGAAAGTTTTAGTCTGAGTCTCTGCTTTCAAGCTTTGGAGTTGCGTACACCCCTGAGTGGAATTCGTGGGTCATGGGGTAGTTCTGTTTTACGTGTTTTTGAGGAACTGCTACCATATTTTCCACAATGGCTGTACCATTTTGCATTCCTGGGGTCCTACTTCCCCACATGCTCATCAACATTTGTTATTTTATTTTATTGTTTTAATCTCAGCTATCCTAGTATAACTGAATGGTATCTCATTCAGGTTTCTGTTTGCATCTCTCTGAGGCTAACGATGCTGAGTTTCCTTTCATGGGTCTGCTAGCCATTTGGATGTCTTTTTTGGCGAAATGCCTATTCAAGTCCTTCGACCATTTTTTAATTTAGTCATGTGTCTTTTTGTTAAGTTGTCAAAGTTTATATATATTTGGGTTTTAGATTTTTGTCAGATACGTGGGTTCTGTTTTTCTTCCTCCCATTTTCTTTGATGAACAAAAGTTTTACATTTTTATGAGGCCCCATTTGTTAATTTTGCCTCTGTCACTTGTACTTTTGTGACTATAATTGATAACCCATTGTTTAACACTAGGCCTATGGCACTGATGCAGCTTTTTCTTCTAAGAATCTTTTGGATCTAGTTTGCACATTTAGGTCCTTAGTCTATTTTGAATTTGTTTTTGTAGATGGTGTGAGGCACATGGCCTGTTTCATTTTTCTGCATGTAGAAATCTAATTTTCCCAGCACCATTTATGGAAGAGACTCTACCCCACCCTCCTCCCCATCAAGTAGCAATTATGAGGTTTCTGATCAATCTAATGATTGGAAAGTCTGCTAAGAGCTGACGAGCATGGACGTTAGAAATATAGTTTTCCTGTCTATCCCAGAGGGGTGGGAGGATGAGAATCCTGGGAAATATGTGTGCCCCGAATTTCTTTAACATATACAGCTGGAGCAGAAAGCTCAGAAGGACAACTGTTCACGGCTGCTTATGGGGTGGGAGGGGCTTCAAAAGTTCATGGAAAAACTTCATGCTCTTTTCATTCCATTCTTGCCATGAACTCTTTGAAGCCCCCTCAGATACTATTCAAGAGCAAAGACGGGCAAGGGTACCTTCTCTGTACAAATCCTGTGCGGTGAGCATCAAACTGACAAACGCCATGTGTGCTGGCCTCACAACAGGGCATCGGATCACGGTGAGCAGGTGTCCAGGGAGGCCTGCGGGCCGCCTTCTTTGCCATCACAAAGTGATGTGTGTGTGTGCTAGCTCCCTACAGGAAGGCCTGCACCTTTTCCTGCTGCACCTCAGGCCCGGGCCTGAGCAGGAACATGAAGCATGAAAGGCCCTTTCTGGTGGACAGCAGGGGCCTGGCTACGAGGTCAGCCTGCTCATGAGAAAAACTGCCACGCCCAGGCCATTTCTCTAAGTTTTGTTTTCTAGAGGTATCTTCTCTAGAAGATACCCCCAAGGAGCACTATCGATGCCTAAGGTAATCCACGCTGGCCTGGTGGTGTCCAGAAGAGAAAACCCAGTGCACTGGGGCCTAATTCCTGCCCTGACATTTTCCTAATTAAGATTTTCCAATTAGCTGGGGGTGGGGGCGTGGGGGCAGGGGGGGAGGAAAGAGAGGATTACAGTGTATGTAAACGGAAGAAGAGAGCACACAATTCAAGTGTCTCTAACTTTCTAGGAACAAGTCTGCCCAGAAAATCAGTCACACCCACGGAAACATTCCCAGCGTTGTGACTCTTCTAAGGAGATGATTCTCTGGTGTTATTTGTTCCAACAAGAGCAGTTTCCTCCCCAGAGGGTGACCTACTCTTTGTCTTATGCCAAGAAAACCATACCAAAAAAAAAAAAAATGCGGACCTATAATGGTTACACATCATGTTTAATCACTGCTTTAAATTAACATAATATGAAGTCTCACTGGGCACTCACCTAGAACATAGCTTCTCAGGCAGCAGACACACCTACTGAGACACAATTTCTGAGAAGTCTGCTTCCCACCTTCTGTCAAGAAAGAGCCTGTAACATCAAGTTTTGAGCTGCCCTGCAGAAACATGGGCAGAAGCCATGGTAGTAAACTTTTCTTGCCAACATGAGATTTTTTTTCCAGGAGTGATCTTTGATTTTCGGTGAAAAAACAAAAAACAAAATAAACCCAAAATGGTTGTTGAGTCAATTCTGACTCATAATAACTCTACACAGGAGATTACAGAACTCTAAGTGCACAAGAACCTTCCCCTCCTCTTCCCTACCTCTCAGATCCCTGGGGTAGATATCTTGCCCACCTTCCAGTATTCTAAAAGCCCATTTCTCTGAGATGTCTTAAAGGTAAGTGTTTACGCCAGAAGAAAAATAAACTCAGCAAAAGGTTTCCTTCTCGTTGATTTGGCTCAGTCAAATAAAACCCTCGTGAAAGCTTCTTGTTTTTGGCTTTCAGATGCAGTAAAGCAGTCACAGTCTACCATGAAACACTGACCCGGAGAAGTGGATAGACGCACAGAACTTTTCCTAGCATGCCCCAAAGCACCAGAGGAGAAGGGAGCCCTTCTTACCTTTGAGCAGCAGAATGAACGCCACGAGAAAAATCACCACTGGAAAGGGGGGTGGAGTGGTGTCCTTACTAAAAGAATCCCAACAAGCTCAACAGGCTTTCTAAAACCTGGGGATTCTATAAAACCTTTTCAAGACCAAATTGCCTAAAACGACTGTCCAAATTCTGTCACAGGCCATGGATGATGAAGTTATCATACCTGTTTTCCCAGGCCTCTGGAAATGTCACTTCTGTTATCAGTCCTGCAGGAGTTCTCAGGATCTGGACCTTTCCCCAACCTCTACTCGCATGCCACACTCTAGTCCAGGTTTGCCCTCCAAGGATGATTAGGCCATCTCCGGGGACATTTTTGGTGGCCAAGATTTGGGAGAGGAAAAAGGGATGCTACTAGTCCACAAGTCACTCATGTCCATGTTGTGAACCTCTGCTCCACCCAGCCCAAAGGTCATCATTCTCTAAACATGCTGTATGTTTTTATATGCCTTTGTGCCTAAACCATGCAGACTATTTCCTTTACCTGGAATGCTTTGCTTTTTCTTCTCTGTTCAGGACATCTCTACTTATCCCCTAGGTTTCAACTCAAAACGTCACCCCCTTTATGCTATCCTTCCCCAGAGGTGTGTGCTCCTGAACTTTGGTGCTTCCTGAACTGCTGGCATGGACCTCATTTGAACATTCATTCTGTTGACCCAACCTTGTCTGCGCTCTGCTAAAGGCAAAGCTGTAGCTATCCTTTATCCTCAGAGTGCCCTGGCAATCAAACACTTCTTACCTGATCCATCAGCCAATAAGGATAAGCGCTGCAGATGCACCTCAGACTCTCATGCAAACATGTCCAAGGCAGTGGTTCTCCACCTTCCTAATGCTGCGACCCTTTAATACGGTTCCTTGTGTTGTGGTGACCCCCCCAACCATAAAATTATAATTTTGTTGCTACTTCATAACTGTAATTTTGCTACTGTTAGGAATCGGGCGACCCCTGTGAAAGGGTTGTTTGACTCCCAAAGGGGTCTCGACCCACAGGTTGAGAACCGCTGGTCTAAGGGCTAACAGTCTCCCCGGCATAAATTAAACAAACAAACAAACCCACAGCTAATGTGTTTTTCAGGTGTTCTTAATGTCGACAGGTGTAATAATGGGTAGTAGTACATGCATTAACTCATTTAAAACAGACAAGGTGGAGACCATTATTAACAAACATTAGAATGATGAGGAAACTGAGACATGGAGCAATTAAACTATTTGAATAAGGTCACTCCTCTGGTAGCTAGGAAGAGCTCAGATTCAAAGCCAGTTGGTCTAGTCTGTGAGGCTCCATATTCCAATATTCATGCCAACAGTTGGATTAACCAGGTTTCAGAACTTGGGAGTCCTCTCGTAACCACAGTTATATGACTGTGTTTCCCCGAAAGTAAAACATTCCCCGAAAATAAAGCCTACTTACAGTTTTGCCTCTTGCTGAAATATAAGGCATCCCCCTGAAAATAAGACCCCCCTAAGCTACCGCAACTCCGGACTCTGGACCGTAGCGACGAGCGCCGTCGCGCAGCTCACTGTTGGCCACAGCATAGCCGGAGCAGACAGGAAATGTGAGGTCTCTTTTAATAAAACGATAAACAATAAATGTGTACCGTATTCTTCTTCATGGAAAAATAAGATATCCCCTGAAAATAAGACCTGGCGCATCTTTGGGAGCAAAAATTAATATAAGACACTGTCTTGTTTTCGGGGAAACAGGGTAGCAGTGTTCCAGCACTCAGAGTCCTCGAGCACCATACAATCACCAAGTGGTCACCAGCTCCAGTAGCTTGGCATGTGAACAGCACACACATAGGGTCTGACAACTCTCTAACGTCCAAGATGTTTCCGGCAGGAGAAATAGCCTGCTCACAGTATGAAAAGATACGCAACCAGGAGAATAATAGTCTCATAAAGAAAATACAAGTGCTGAACCCCAGAGAACCTCCTACCTTGTTCAGGCTGCAGGGACAGGAGGGAGAGATCAGACATGTCACAATGCAGGGTAGCTCTTGAAGGTCCTCGTTGGAGCCCTCGCTTCCCGAAGCAACAGCTGCAGAGAGACACAAACACAGGGGACATCCATCACCTGGTGCTCAGGAAGGCCCCAGCAGTCCTGGGTCCAATGGACATCTACCATGATGGCAAAGATCTCTATCTGCGCTGTCTCCTACGGTAGTCCTTAGCAACATTGGGCCACTGAACACTTGAAATATCTGAACAGCAAATGTGGGGCTGAATTTGTCACTGTATGTAATTTAAATTAAATTCAAATTTAAACTCAATAGGGTACTAACCATAAGGTCAGTCTTTGAACCTACCAGCAGTTCTGTAGGAGAAATCTAAGGCTTTCTGCTCCCATAAAGGTTTACAACCTCAGAAACCCAAAGGGGCAGTTTTACTGTTCTATACCACCATTGTAAGTCAGAATCAAGTCAATGGCAGTGAGCTGATTTTGTTTGTTTTCTGGGTACTGTGTGCAGAGACACCTTGATCAACAAGGCAGGCAGACCAGTTATTCCTGTTTCCAGGAGAGGCTGTTGACCTCCTTAGAAAGGGAGAGGAACTGTCTATGGCCATACCACCCTGAATGTGCCCGATCTCGTCTGATCTCAGAAGCTAAGCAGGGTCCGGCCTGGTTAGTACTTGGATGGGAGAAAGGGAGAGGAAGAACCTACCTCCTAGAACCTACTAACTGCCATTCCCCAAAAGATATTTATGTTTAAGCTGGAGTCTCACTATATCACTGCTAAGGCTTAACAGATAAAATCTTCTACACTATTCCTTTAGATATAACATCAGGAAGACCAATCACTAAAAGAAGATACCATGGTTGGTAAAGTAGAGGGTTGTTGAAAACGACAGAGACCTTCAATAAGGGAAATGGAAACAATAGCAAACCCAAAGATGCCAATGGTCATGAAGCTGGTCTAGGACTCCAGGACAAGGCAATGTTCTTCTGCACATGTAGTCGCCACGTGGCACAGCCACCTGACTGGCAACTAATAACAACTGGTTTTTGGATTACAGATTACAGTTGAATTAATACAGTCGTTTACTGTATGGTTCCAGGATTCTTGATGAGTTAAATAACAAGGAAAAAGAGGAAGAAAATATCTTCAACACTTCAATAAATTTCACTTTTTCTTTTGAGGTATGTTTAGGGATGGTTTGGGGAGGAGAACAAAACATTGTAAGGTTCTTTATAATCATACACGATATGTGTATGTGTGATTTATCCAGGTTGTGTCTAAGAAGGGATTTATCAATGTGAACTTTCTTATATAGACTGGAATTGGAAGTGGAGCTAGAACTGCAGCTCTAGTTTTCTATATTGTTATTATTTTATCATTAAGATAGTTTATATGTGCTTTTTATTTTTTTAAAGTACATACTACTGTTTCACTAGCGTGACAGAGCTACCTTTAAAACTGCCTTCCTGCCATGGAGTCAGTGCTGACTCAGAGCGACCACACAGGGCAGGGGAGAACTTCCCTGTGGGTTTCGGAGACTTTTTTCTTTACAGGAATAGAAAGCCTCCTCTTCTCCCATGAAGTGGCTTGTGGGTTCAAACTGCTGATCTTGTGGTTAGCAGCCATCAGCGCCCCTACCATGTTTAGTTCTTAATTACTGGCCTTTATCCCTGAGAGGGCATGCCTGACATAGGGTAGAGACGTCTGCAGAGTTGAGCATATAAGGAAGCCCAGCTTAACTCTTGCACTATGAAGAAAATGATGTTGCAATGTAGTCTCAACATCTGAATTTATAGAAGATAAATTTCTACTACTCCAGACGTACTACTACTATTCTATGAGCATAATATTTAAATTCTTTGTAACAAATCAGAAGGTAAGGAGAGGAAATTGCAGGTCACTCCCTATTTGAGACGCATACCACATCCCATCACTGCAAAAACACATTTTAACTATTATGTACAACGACTCTGAGATTCTGAGTTTGCAGCATACATAAATGCAAGAATTCACATTGTTTAAGCCTGGGTACTCACTATTTCAAAATAAAAAAAACCCAACATCTCAATCAATGTAAAAGGACTGGTACAGAAATTAACAGGTAGAAATTGCACTCTGAATTTCCAGGAGAAACAGTGATGTGTCTTTCTCAGAGCTTCAAGGCAATGCTCCTTACACGCTTCCTCCTCAGCTATGTCTTGGCTCACTTACACAGGAGTGCCCACTTAACATAGCCGGGAGGAAGTAACGACGCCTAACATCACAACTGCACTCAAGTGCACACACAGTAACGACACAGGAAAGGCGGGTACAGAAGATAATAACAGACAGACAAGGATTCCTGAAAGCCATTTCCCCGAAGACCCCCAGCGGCTCCAATCACGCAGAGTCCCAGTCCCTCAGAAACCTGCATCAGGTTTGCACTAAGCTAATTATGGGTCTTCCTCCGCACATCCTTTTCAGGTGTTTTGGTTCTGCAACCCAGTCAGACTAAAAATTCATTGAGGGGTGTATTTGTTACATAGAAAGTCCTTAATACATATCTTAGATAGATTTTTGCTTTCTTTGCTCTCCCTTACACATACTATGATAATGTTGATTACCAACGCAGGTGCTTAAACATGTCAATAAAACATTGTTAGGATACAGCTAGTTGTATAATGTTCAAAGTTGTGCAATACAGTTTTATGTGAAAACTCTCATTTAGCGTTAGAAGCACTACGCTGGCTGGTAGTGTTTCTAACCAGGAAAGCAGACGGAGTTCCTGGTCATGCCATAGAAAGCATTAGAGCTTGGACCATACAGACTCCACTGAGGATGCCTTTACTTAAAAGTATATACAATGAGAACAAATGAAGACTGTCTCTACCTCCTCAAAAAAAAAAGTAAAACACATCTACAGTTCAAAGATGACTATTAATTGAAAGCAAGCAAGCAAACACTTCACAGAACAGATGCCAGTTTTAGAAACTAGGATCGGCTTCCTTCTGGAAGCAGTAGAAGAGACTGGTCCTAGCCCACAGGTACTTTCCGTTTCACTGGGATCAGAGAGAATTTGGTTATTTGATTGCTACTTCAGTCCATGAAGGAGCGTAGAGAAAGCTACACTGTGAAACGAGGCTGCACCTTAACTACGAAACATTAGAAAAAGATGTGGACTAAAGAGTTTTCTTTTTTCCTCTATAACATAATTCTATTATTTAGTTAACTTTTAATCACTGAAGTTGTATTCTCCTGGAGTGGAAAAAATGGAAAGTACAGACCGTGACGGTACCTTGAGAAAGTCAATCCCACTAAACCACTGTGTGACTGCTACTCAGCGATGATAAAGTTGGTTCAACTGACAGCATAGTCTGTGGCTAACCTTTAATGAAGTGTAAGCCACTTCTTCTGGGGAGTCGAAGTGGCGGCAAGGAGGAAGGCTGGGACAGGGGAAGTGTAGGAAGCAGGAAGAAATGAGCATCAAATGAAGGAAACTCAAGGGTTGGTGATGCAACCAAGACACCCAGACAAAGGGTCAGCCATTGGGCCCCTTGCCCCTCACCAGCCAGGCCATCACCACACAAGAGACCAAGAGATTGCAGGCTCCATGTCCTGCAGCTTCTCCGGCCAGGATCACCTGCTTTCCCGTGGCCCGGTGTCAGCAAAGGAGGAGTTGGAAGTAAAGTTAAGACTGGGCCCATCTGTTTCACCACTATTTACAATTAACCTCCACGGTCCACTGCTAACGTGGGACAGAGGACAGCCTAAGCAGACTTACTTCTATTTTCTTTACTCTCAGAGAGCCTTTCTCTACGGAGCCCTGGTGGCATAGTGTTTACCCCACTGGGCTGCTAATTGCAAAGTGAGCAGTTCAAAGCCAGCAGCTGTTGCGAGGGAGAGAGAGAAGGCTTTCTACTCCTGTAAAGAGTTACACTCTCTACACACTCATAGGGCGTGTCTACCCTGTGCTATAGGGTCGCTATAGGGTCATTATGTGTAAGCACTGACCCAATGGCAGTGAGTGTGGAAGAGAATCTCACCGGGGAAGTCAAATAGGACTGCTCCAAAACCATGGACACTTTAATTAAACAAAAGTATCAAAATGTGAAGCTATTCTTTCTCAACATGTCCTCTGTCTAGGTCCACATACTTCTGACAGCGGAGTTTCCACCTCTCCAACCGTTCCCTCGAGCAGCGGTGCTCCGCCTTCCTCAGGCCGCGACCCTTTCAGACAGTTCCTCATGGTGTGGTGACCCCCGCCACAAAATGATTTTCCTTGCTACTTCGTAACTGTAATTTTGCTTGCTGTTATGAATCGTAATGTAAATATCTGATATGTGGGATGTATTTTCATTGTTACAAATTGAACATAATGAAAGCAGTCAATCACAAAAAAATATGTAATTATATATTGTGAACTATTTATTTCTAATTACAAATAAATGAACTTTTGTCTTGAAGCACGGTGTAGCATGGGTAACAGTCTTCATGCCAGGTACTTGTGTGTGGGCATATCTGCACGTGGGTGGCCCGCCTGGAGAAGGATAGAGGTCCGGTGTCTCCTTCCTAAGACCCTCAGAAATATGTGTTTTCCGATGGTCTTAGGCGACCCCTGTGAAAGGGTCATTTGATCCCCAAAGGGGTTGCGAGCCACAGGTTGAGCACCGAAGCCCTAAAGAATTCTGTAAGCTTGCTTCAGTTTATACCACAGGACATCCTCCAGGCATTCAAATCGTGTTCTTTGTCAATGGTGAGTTTGGGAAACAAAATGCAGTCTGAAAGCATAAGATCACAGCAGGAGGGTGGATAGGATAACATTTTCCCAATCAAATTCTTGTAGGACACCCTTTGCTACAGTAGGAGAATGAGGAAATGCATTATCATAGTGGGATGGGTGTGTGGAAATTTCTTGGTGCACTTTCTTGGCCTTTTTCTCATCAAAGCAGTTTTCCACTTTCATAAATGCCTTCCTCATAAGCATTTAACCACTGTTTCCAGAATTCAGGTTCTTGTCTAAACAAGAATATTATTTCCTTTTGGAAGACACAATCTCCTAGGAGGAGGAAATCCTTACCAGCCAACATGGTCAG